CATGTCTTAGAAATTTTCTTTGCCACCATACTACTCTAACTGATGTGGGGCCTATTCGATTGGCAACTGGCACCAGGCAACTGGTGGACCCAATTGGATTTCAGAAGTAGCTTGGATTTTACCCCAAAGCTCTGGTGCATGGATTGGTGGAAGTCTTGGTCATTGCTTGTAATGAGCATGTGATAGGCATCTTGATCGGGCCACGCCAGTGTGGACTTTTTTTGTTTATGGATCATATAGAGTTTCATGATTTACTAAGGAACTGTAGAAGATGAAGCGATACAGTGATGCCTAGAACTTTGCTAGTGAAAGATGAAAAGTAAAGCCAACCAAGCACAGATAAGAGCCTTTATTATGATATACTTTGTGGCAATAAGGGCAGCAAAGCAAATGTACTTCTCTGCTCTTATCACATCTGCAGATAGCCAACCAGCAGTCTTGTTTCGGATTGCCATGTCCCTCCTTGGGAAGGAAGAGCCATGAAAGGTCTTGCAGAGCAATTTTGGAGAATATATTGTACTCGGCATCTGTCAGAGAAAGTCAGTTTATTTCACTTGTTGATGGTGCTGGCTGGACAGATCCTTTAGGAAATGACCTCTGGGAGGAGTTTGAGCCAATCAGTAAGCCTGGCTATTTATGTTTTGGACCTATGCCCCTCCTGGTTGGTCAAGGACTCCTGAGTGTCCAGACAATGGTTAATGCCTCTTTGCAGGAGTGGATGGTTCCACCAGCCTCAAAGGAGTTGGTGGTGAACTCCCTACTCAAGAGGGCCCTGGATGAAATGAATTACCTGGATCCTTTTTAGTCTGGATTCAGTTTGAATTGTAATACAAAGATGGCATTGGTCACACTTGTGAATGACCTATCATCAGCTCTCCAAGATAGATTAATCTTGAAACCAAATATATACAAGCTAATTCTACTTTTATTATAAAGTTATAGTAACAGACTCTTGCATGCATCTGACTCATTGCCTGAAAACTTTGGGGGTCTGGATGGGGAGGAACTAGCTCCAGCTCAACTCCAGCAAGATGGGGTGGTTTTGAGTCTTGGGTCTTTCTTTGTTATCTCTGACATTCAGTGATGTAACACTTCCACAGGCAATGGCTGTGAGACTTGCAACTCCTGCTTGGGAAGCAGGTGGAAACTGTGGCTAGGAGGCTTTTGTACAAGATATGCCTTGTACACCAATTGCACCCTTTTCTAGACAGGAGGCCTTGCTCACAGTTACTCATGCCTTAGTCATTTCCTGATAGACTATTGCATACACCATTTTATTATTGGCCATTTGGTGAATGTTCTACTGAATATTTCTCTTGCTTGATGAATGGCAGATATTGTTCTCTAATCCTATATAGAATTCAAAATGTTCAAATGTCATAGAGACAAAAATGAAAACTATACTAAGATGAATTGAGGATCTCTTTCTAGTGTTACGAGGGGGCTTCAACCTATAATGAATATTTCGTTTCCTCTCTTCTGTCCTAAATTTCCAGTTTGTTCTCACATTAATCCAGGTTCCTCCAAACTCTCGATATTTTAAATTTGTTATCTTGATGTGAAGTTCCTACATAGTTGAAGGACCCCAGTTTTGCATATGAAGACAAGTTATAATCAAAACAGGATATTTATGACATTCCATACTTGAAACATTTCAAAATTAATAGTTACATCATGCTTTAAAATTCACTTCTTAATGGTTTGTTGAATAGCTATTGTTGATTCAGTTAGGCTTAAGGGTTCAGCAAAAGATTATAAATTGCATACTATCAGAAAGTTCATGATTGCTTTATTTTCATTGTTACATTGCATTCGACTTCTAATAACAGAAATCCTGAAATATTCCAGCACATATGACACGAGATCAAAACTTTGATCAATTTCACTGGGTTCAGGCTGATGTCAAAAACCAGCCAAGAAGACACAAAGCTGAGTTGTAGGCAAAAGCATGATCAAGGTCCAGTATAGAAGTCAAGCAAAGGATTCATTATTGGCTGCCAAATTCAGAGCAGTAAGCAGAACAACATTGTCAGATCCAGACATATGTCAGGGTTTCCAGAATGTCAGGTGAAACTTAGAGTTGAAGAAGGGCTGTCCAGAATATGCTTCAATGTTTGATTGCTTTCAGACAAGACAAGAAAACAAGGGCTCCTGGCCCTTATTTAAATTGGTAACATCCTAAAGCTGGTTGCAGAAATTGGACTACTCAAAAGTAATGATCTATCCCCAAGTTAACCACTATTTTCAAAGTGCTCTTTCAAACAATTTGACAGCTTGAATCTTAGTACTGATGATTTTGCCTTCATACAGTAGGGATAGTTACATGGAGAACTCCATTAGCTCTTTACTTAACTTTCTGCTCCTCCTTTCCCTCAGAAGAGAACTAAACCTGTTTTATTCCTATCCATTTATAAAGTAAAAACATTTCATTTGCAAGCCCACTGTTATATTATTATTTAAAGCTAATTTATCTTATAGAAAATCTTTGTCTCTTCTATCTACTTACTACGGTAATAGTTGGCTTTTCAAATGTCTATTTGGAAGTACCATTGCTTTGAATGTTATAGTGCTCTAAATACCTCCTAATTTACATATGATATTTGTTCTTTTAAAAAAAGATCTAGTATAAAGCTTTTTAATTGGTTTTAACAGTGATTGTAATGTATCTAATGTATACAAGTGTCTGTGTTGGCTATCATTATGTGCTCCACAAGCAAGCCTTTGTTACTCTTTTAAAAAGCATGTTGAAAAAAATGCTGCATGTTGTTGAACTCTTTATAACACATGCCTCCAATTGTGTTATAAGTATTTTGTTGGTTTGCTTATGGCTTGTATATCTCAATTCAGAGAGGGGGCACCATTGCATTAAAAGTGAAAGGGAACAAATTTTAATATTTGTAGTATTCATTACATGACTTGAGTATAATTTGTAATGAAAATAAGTTAATGAAAATAAATAGTTTTAGTATGATCGTTTACTGGATCTTAAGTCAAAAGATGAACAATGTCTTTAAACATCTAACAATTTAAGAATATTGTTTGTGAATATGCTTTGCCAGACACATGTCAGAATGATGTAGATTGCAAGGTTCAAGCTCATGACATTAACCAAGATTATGACACAATCTGTGGTCCAATTGAGCCCTTAGTACAACAGCTTCTTGTCTCAATTTCAGCTGGATCATTCAGAGAATCTTTCAGCCTTCAGAGTTGAAATAGAAGAGCAAATATGTACGTAGAGTCATTGGCTTCACTATAATGGCATCTGGAAGTCAACATTTCTAATAGAATCTTCATTTCAGAGTGAGTTCCTTGTAAGACCTAGATGACAGTATAAACAATCATTTAATGCCCTCCATTAAAGTTTACTAGTAGTTTAATATTGTTGACCCTACAATAGTATTAAGTGAAATGTAATGGTTCAACTATCAACAATAAAGGAACAATAAACTTTAATGGTGAGTATGGATTAACCATCAGCAGTAAAGGAACAAGCAGTCAAGAAATATGCCACGAACTATCATCTCAAAATTATACTGCCAGAATTTGAAAGCGCAGTGATACATTTAAAAAAATAATAATCAAGGGCAGAAGCAACTAAGTGGTAACAATTAAGTGTTAACCTTTTTTAGATACAATGCATGTATTTTATATGAAAATATCTGAAGAAGTAAACTAAAACAAATAGCCTCCCTCTTTCCAGAAATATCATGTCATCCTCAAACTTCTTGAAGTCCTCCAAGGCTTTTTGAAAAAGAGCTCCCAGCAACAAAATGTTTTCAACCTCAGTTCTTTCAATGGATTTCAGATGACATTGACTTTCTAGGATTTGAGGTAGGAAAAGGACAGGTCTAGAAGATGGGATTTTTAATGTAGAAGTGAGACAGAGCTTAAAAAGACCTCTGCACTGATACCTCAAAATGTCAGCTGGCTCTTTAGAGAATAGAGAGTTGGTTTTCAAGCATCCCCCATATGTCTACATATTATATATGCCACTCTGGTTCATTATTCAACCAATTCCATTGTTTCATGATTATTTTA